TAATAGAACATGTGAATTATCTTCCACTTCTCCTTCACCACATATACAAACCTGTTCGGCTATAGGTGTTCTCTTATACCATTAGCCCCAAGAGTTTTTTTATTTCTGGCTAGGCTCCTTGATGTAAATGGATTGGGCCCCAACTAGGGCCTGCTGGATCCCCAGGACAGGAAACCTGGGCTCTCCTCTTCCTTATCCCCTGCCTTGGGATTTGCATTGCCTAATAAAGTGGGAATCGCCCATTGGAGGGGATGGAAATTCCCGTCAGAGCTAGCAGTCCCTTCCCCATCGCCACATTTGACACTGTGCTTCTGCCTCCTGCTGCTGGCTTCTCCTACCTGCCGCTGAGCTGAACCAGGCAAAGTTCCGTCTCCTCCAGCCTCTTGCCAAGAATCTCTCCGCGTTCTTGAAATCTGGCCTGCTCCTGCAGCAGTGCTTGATTCTGGACAGACAGGGACTTCACCTGCTCCTCCAGCAGCTTCTGCTTGTCTGTAGCCGAACTCAGCTTCATTTGCAGCACTTCCATCTGTCTTGCATACTAGAGGGGGAACAGAGGGGGCAGTGATGAAGCTTAGAGCCCCCCTAGGCTCAAGGCTCCGCAAGGGCTCCGGATTAAGAGGCTGAGGGAAAGCTGTGCAGGAATAGAGAAAAGCTGCACCAGGGGATGTTTTAGGCTCTTCTCGTCATAATTGGGGAAGACTCCAATTATGTCTTAATAAGTATACAATCGCAGCTTTGAGGATTTTCTTTCCTGGTCTCATCTTCCCCCAATTAGTGGAAAGATTTGCAGGGTTACGTTCTACACATTGCTTTTGTGTGTAGTTTCCCTAGTAAATTTCAAATGGCTCTCTTTAGCTATGCTTTGAACGTAGGTTGGTTATTGCTATGATTCCTAATAACAAAAATATAGGGGTTTCACTTCTTCTATTACAAAACTACAGGGGAAGAACGGTGAAATGCAAACAGCTCAAAGTGTGGTCCCCAAAACAAAAGTGTGTGTTGTTTTTGGTATTTGCCAGAGCAACATGTCAACTGCCCATTGCACAGGAGTTACTCTCCTATGAAGGCATAGCTGGGTTTCGGACGCCGTCTCTTTCAGGAACATGCAACAGATTTCCATTTTTCAAATTTCTTTTGTAACATGTGACTATTGACCTATCAAATCTAAGACTCATTGACCAAGCATTTCCAATGAAGATAAGTCACTCATGGCTTGAACTATCTTGCTTTGCAAGTAATGAGTCTTATCTCATATATTAGTTTCACCTTTTAAGTTGCATTACTGAAACAAATGAACTTTTACACGATATTCTAATTTTTCAAGTTTCACCTGTACTTTTGCCAGATGCATGTACGCAACATTCAATGGCACACATTTTTTCCCCATAATTTTTGATGGATTTTTAATTAGGAATAGATTAACAGAAAACTAAACATGTGGGTGGTCCTCCGAGCACAATCCTCCTCTACCTGTTCCAGGGGCTGCATGGGGTAGAGACAGTTTTTTATTGCTGACGCATCCTCTGAATGTCGTAACCAAGGGACCGCTGGTTTCTGGGGCAGCGATACAGACAGGTGGAGCTTTGAGCATCCCTAAAGCAGAAGAACATTATTTGGCGAGTCTGAAGAGAACAAGACTAAGAGAACAATTACAGAGACATGAAAGTCCACTTGCAATACAAAATGCCCTTTAAATGGAGTCTCCATGCTGGAAAATGTGGAGGAAGATAAGAAAACCTCCCAGGTTTTAGAGCTCAGATGGAAAAGTGTTAAGAAAGTCTGGAGAGGGAGAGGGAGAGGGAGGGAGAGACTGACTGATTGACTGTCTGGTCTCCTTGTGAAAAAACTTTTCCTTTCCGTTATAACAGCAGCTTTCCACAAAATTGGAACTGGACTAAAGGGAGTTTTGGGCCATCAAGACTGCATTGTAATACAGTAGTTGAGCAAACCGCTCCGAAACTCTGCTTACCTGAGATGCTGTGTGGCTGCCAGCATTGCATAGAGAGGAGTCGTAAGGCTGAGGATTGCTGTCCTGACAGTCATCCACTCGCCCGATGCTTCTCTGCTTGCGGAGACGTCGAGATGCCTTACTCTGGGTTGGGACGCTCTGAGTACGCTGCACTTTGCTCCTGGATTTCGTTGGATGTAAAGGAGTCAGGGCGTCTTCCTTGCCTCTGTTCTTTTGGATGCTGGTCATGGACTGGCTCTTGATCAGAGGACTATACTTGGCCAGATCCCGGGGGGGCACAAACCCCAGCTTCTGTTTCTCAGCGTCTCTGAAAGACAAAGAATGAGGAGTCGGCTGTGCAAAAGGCATAGTCATGTTGACAATCTCAATTCCAGATTAAGTCTTCAGACCCAAACCTGGCCCACATCTACATGTCCTTATGTTTTGATGCACAACTTTCTCACATTCTGCACTGATGGCTTCTCCATCCCACTTTCTTAACCCAGAGTTCTTTTAGGGAAATTTCTGCCTGCTATCGAATTAAGGAGACAGGCAGTCGACCACGGTAAAGTGAAACCCACTAGTCCTTTAGCTGGCAGAAAAATATGCAAGCATAAAATCTACTATCCTGACACACACGCACACACACACAAACACAGAGAGAGAGAGAGAGAGAGAGAGAGAGAGACAGAGAGACAGAGAGACAGAGACAGAGACAGAGAGAGATTTACTTTGCCCAGGTGAAGAATTCCTGGCTGGTGGTTAGAAAACGATTGGGAAAAAAATATGCAAATAAAAAAGTGGACAAAGCCCAAAGACCTTAAAATAGGGAACCAGGTCTACCTCTCCACAAAATATCTGCAGCCCAGACAGCCTTCCCAAAATCTGGGGCCTAAGTACGTTGACCCTTTCCCCATCAAAAGGATTATCAACCCAGTCACAGTTGAACTCGAACTGCTGAAGTCACATTCAGGCACATTCACCCAATTTTCCCTTTTAGGGTACTAAAATCAGAAAACTCCCCCCTTTGTGTGCGACACTGACTCTGCCCTCTGAGCCGCTCATGATTGAGGTGGAACATTTTGAAATGAAAGTCATTTTAGATTCTCATAAACGCCAAAGAAAACTCCAGTATTTAGTTATGTGGAAAGATTTTCCTCCCTCGGAAACTGAATGGGTTAAGCAGGTTTAAAGCAATCAAATTCCTCAAACGCTTCCATAATTAATATCCTGATAAACCAAAATAGCTCACATATCATCTAACTGTAGATCTACCTTGTTTCTCTCTCTGTTGTGTCTTTTCATTTGTTTTACAGGACTGGTGTACTTGTCAAAGGGGGCCACGTGTCAGAACCTCTGCCTTCACTTGCCCCCTTGTTGGCATTCCGCCGTCAGTCGAGGAAGGGAGGTGGGAACAAATGGGCAGAAAAGCAGTATACCTTTATGATGGGGAATTGGGAGGGCGGAATTGACAGTTGAGGAAGAACAGAGCGTTTCGGAATCTGGTTCGGGCTGGCATTTTCAAAGCTGTTTTCCCTGAGAGTGGAATTTCCCCAGCCCAAAGACCTCAGTGTTTCCCAAAACACCTTGGCGGTGCTAGATTGGTTACACACGGATGGACCGTGGGGGAGGGCTAGGGAGGAGCGAGAATTAGCTCTGTACGGGTGCATGGCAACTTCAGATTCCGCTTGAACAATCAGCATCTCTCACTAAAAGCGCATCTTCACATCAACCAAATGGAGTTGAAAGTTTTACTTCCCTGGGAGATGAGACCGGGGCAGGTCTGACAGATGCGAGACAAGTACTTTGAGCAGCGATTTGCCTTCTTTCAAGTTGCCAAACAGGTCACAGATACTACATGGCTACACCACATTTCTGATGGGGAAAAAAAGAGGCTACCTTTGAACTCTATGTGTGGGGGGTGGGGATTTGAAAGGTTGGGCTAACAAGCGCAGAGGAGCCCAGAGGGGGACAGTTCAGGACAAGGGATAAGTGAGATCCGTCCTCCATAAGTACTACAAGGTGGCCATAACCATAGCACCAAAAAGTAAGCAGTTGAAGGAGGCTGAAGGGCGCCTCTTCCTCAAAGGGATAAAAAGAGGCCATAAAGCATTCCTCGTGACCCCAAAGGACCACATGTCGCTTTTGGTGCTGCCATTTCATTACCTTTCCTCCATGTGGGGCCCAGGAAGAACGGAGACGGGCACAGGGGTTCCCTCTTGGATGGCCTGGAGGATGGCTGGCAGAGGCTGCAGTTTCTCCTGGGTTCCCTTGTAGACAGAAGAGCACAAAGGGCCAACATAAAGAACTTGGCCAGACTGATGGTAGAAATTGGTTTCAATCTGGCCAAAGGCTGATCTATTTTCTATCCATTGCATTTATATATTTACACCTCTATATACTTATTTCTTATACTGTATATTTAAATTCACACATACAAACTCGAGCATACTTTAAAANGTCACGTACGCGCTTTCGTCGAGCGCGCTTTATTCTACCGCGGTTTTGTGGTGGAACCCATTTTTGGTCTCAGAACTGGTGATACTTGCCCTGAGGCAAACTGGCCATGAGCATCAGCCAAGTCAGCAGCCTGCAGCCTGCTTAGGACAGGGGTGAAGAGCCTTCTTCTTCAGTGCTTGGCGCAGCAGGAGGGTGGCAGACCATAAGGACACCCCAGGGTGGCTAATGCCATTTCATTGAGCCCCACCCCCCCTCACGTCTCCTGGCTTCAAAGGCAGGATAAAGAAATTATCAGGATTTTCAGGTGGAATAAGGCACCTTTTATAGGAGAAGCGAGAAAAAAAATAAGCCCAGGGACATTCTCTTCCATGCTCGCTTGAGATCCTTCTGGACATAGAAGCAATTATTGCCCAAAATTCAGTGGCCTTTGTAGTGCCGGCCTTACGTGCCCTTAGGCCAGTGTTTCTCAACCTTGGCGGCTTTAAGTCCTGTGGACTTCAATTCCCAGAATCCCCCAGCCAGCATAGCTGGCTGGGGGATTCTGGGAATTGAAGTCCACAGGACTTAAAGTCGCCAAGGTTGAGAAACACTGCCTTAGGCAACAGAAAGAGGGCTCATCTGCACAGCCACACTCGAGGGGCTTCCTCCCCACTGGAGGGACGTATGCCGACAGAAGAGCCACCGCAACAGAGTCTGCCTTTCGCCACACCTCAGGACGGAGGCTGGTAGTGTTGCTTTCAGGGGGTTGATCGGAGGCGGGGGGGACCCATTAGCCGCAGAAGAGGGCTCTAAGGCTGCAAGCTGGAAATATACTTCGCCCAACTCTCCATGCGAGAGAAAAGCCTGTGAGGAGGGGGGCTTGGTAAAAGACGGTGAACTTGACCAGACCCAGGGAAGGCATTTCTTCACCCAGTGATTGCTGGTCAGTTCAGGAACAAATGCAGAGGCTGCTGCAGGTTTTCTGTTCTTACCCTCGTAGTTCTTACCCTCTTACCCTTACGAGGGTAAGAACCAGTGGTGGGTTTCAAACATTTTTCGAACCTACTCTGTGGGTGTGGCCTCCTTTGTGGGAGTGGCTTGCCGGCCATGTGACCTGCTGGGAGTGGCTTGCCGGCCATGTGACCTGCTGGGAGTGGCTTGCCGGCCATGTCTTTTCTTTCTTTCTTTCTTTCTTTCTTT